CCCAACAGCCCCCTCCCCCCAATCGGGGGCAGGGCCATCCAACCTCCTGTGGCCCCTTCCACTCACCAGCCCTGCCTGATCAGGCCCCATCTTGGCAGGCCAGCCAGACCCCACCTGTGCACGAATTCGTGTACCCGACCTCTAGAGTGTGTGTGTGTGTGTGTGTGTGTGTGTGTGCACGTGTGTGTGTATTATTTGACCTGGATTTCGCCAATTTAAGAATTTTTTTTGTGGTTAACAATATTTTTATTAGCATTTATATTAGAATACCAAATACTGCATATGAAGCTGTAGATAATTTCAATGATTATTACATCATATGATATTGTTTTGTTTTCCAGACCACATGAACTAGATTTTAAGTATGTAATGAAAGTGTCGTCTCTGAAAAAAAGACTACCAGAAGCTATCTTTAGAAAACAGAATTACTTGGAGCAAAAAGGTTTGTTCAAATGTAATGATACACTGTCTATGTGCTGGGCTTTGTTCCATTTATTTCCCCCTCTTATACACACATTTTTGTTTTGCCTTAAGTGATTCTTAAAAAGGCCATTTGTAAAAGATGCAGAGTTGCTATGTGATTTGGTTCCTTGGAGGCCAACTAGAAACTGTGAAAAATAGTTTCATGTAAGATTGCAAAGTCTAGCTTTAATCCTTCCTATATAATAAAAGCCCAGCGACAGAATGGCAGAATGACCGGTCGACCAGTCGCTATGACGTGCACTGACCACCAGGGGGCAGACACTCCAACCGGTAGGTGAGCTTGCTGCTGGGGTCTGGCCAATCGGGACTGAGCAAGATGGGCTGGACACACCCTAGAGCCCTCCCACGGTCCCTCCCCAGCTGGCCAACCTCCTGCGTCTCTTCCCAGCCCCAATTGTGCACCAGTGGGGTTCTTCGGCCTGGCCTGTGCCCTCTTGCGATCCAGGACCCCTCTGGAGATGTTGGAGAGCCGGTTTCAGCACGATCCCACTCAACTCAGGAGCTGCTCTCTAATGGTCAGTGCGCTCCCACAGGAGGAATAGTGCTCAGCCAGAAGCCGGGCTCACAGCTGGCAAGCGCAGCGGTGGTGGTGGGAGCCTCTCCTGCCTCCATGGCAGTGCTAAGGATGTCCAACTGACCCCTTAGGCCCACTCCCCCTAAACCATCAGTCAGACATCCCCCAAGGGTTCCCGGACTGCGAGAGGGTGCAGACCAGGCTGAGGGACCACCTCCTCCCACCCCTCTTCAGTGCACAAATTTCATGCACCAGGCCTCTAGTTGATTAATAAGATTATATAAGTTTCAAGTGTGCTGTACTATAATGCATCATCTGTATATTGCATTGTTAGCTCATCACCCAGAGTTTAGTTATGTACTTCGAAGTGAAGGGAGAAAAGCAGAAAACCCGAGAAGGAAATTTCTCTATCATTTAGATTGATTCATGGAACATTGATGTTTATATTATTTATATAGTATTTATTTACCTCGTTATAGTCGTGTCAGTATAAATGAAAGCATTGTTTTCAATTTTTTATTGATTTCAGAGAGGAAGGGAGAGGGAAAGATAAAAACATCAGTGATGAGAGAGAATCATCTATCAGCTGCCTTCTGCACGCCCCCTTTTGGGGATCGAGCCTGCAATCCTGGCATGTGCCCTGACCAGGAATTGAACTGTGACCTCCTGATTTATAGGTCAATGCTCGTCACTGAGCCACACCAGCCAGGCTATACAATATAACTTTTTTTAAGGTGTTTTATAACCAAGGACATTGAATGATAATTTTTTAATTGTATTCTTAGTTTTCTGACTTTTTATTATGTAAAATGAATAAATTGGTTATTTTAAAAAATAAAATAGCATTTAAAATAAGAAGTGTTCTGTTTTTCTGATTTTGTCTAGTCTGTTGCCAAGATATGTACTTCAATATGTATGAAGTGGAATTGTCAAACAAACAAGGAGACAAAATAGATAAACTAACCGAAGTCATTAAAAATAAGCAATTGGTAAGAATCAATTTAAAATAATTATTTTTTCCTTAAATTGAGATTTTGATATCTAATTATTAGTTGCTGCATCTAGATGAAATTATTCTAGTTTACTGAAAGGATTTTTATCCTTTAATTTTTATTGATATATATATAATATTTATTGACTGATCTTTTCATCTTCTTTGTTATCTTAGTTTGTGTTTCACTAGTCAGTTTATACTCCTGATTTTAAGAATAAGAGGACAATTTTTCTCATTCTTTTGTTATTTTTGTTTTATGACAGAATTGAGTAGATCCCAGTGTTTTTGAATTAATCAAAGGACCACTTGTGAAATAGCTCTTTAAAAGTGACCTGTGTCAATCCATAGGTTTAAAAAAGGGGGGAAAAGTTGCTGTTTTTACTGTTTTTATAGTATAGAAAGTAAGACTACTGAGAAATAAATAACATCCAAAGACCTCTCTGTTATGTTAATCAGGGTTCCTCAGTGTCAGGGTAGGCATAAATGCTGATTCTATATTGAGTGATTTCTAAACATCCCAGAAGAGATGGTGTAGGTGTAAGACAGTGACCAAACAAATTCTGAGCCCTTTAGTGACATGATGGACTGGACCCTATAGTAGGTAGCAAAAAAATTAATAAATTAAAATCAAACATGTATAGCAGCTTTGAACGTAAGCTCAAGTCTTAGGGATAGCGTCAGTTCACATACTTGAAGTTGCATGTAACAGAAACCTAAGCTGGATTAAACAATAAAGGGATTTAATAGGCTTAACTTTTCTGTTCTAGGTGTTAAGAGGGAGGGGAGTGAGAGGAGAGGAGGAAGTGGGGAATGGAGAGGGAGAGAGAGAGAAGGAGGGGGGAGGAGGAAGATAGAACGGGAAGGAGAGGAAGGGGGAGAGAGATCTCTGCACATCTCTCAATCAGTAACTGCAAAGGGAATGGACTACACTAATTAGCTCAGACCATTCAGAACCCATTTACCAGAACTGGGTATGAGGTTAGTTCCACTCAATCTACAGGGAGTAGTGCTCCACAGCAAAATGTTAGAATCGGCGACATTGGATGCTGAATGGATAACTAACTACTATAGGATTGTAGGCTATGGTTTTTAAAGTACCATAGTCCATTTTATATTTGGAAATTAAAAGGAATAAAGTCCAAAGGTACTTTCAAAAAATGCATTCATGAAGGGACTACTTGTGAGTGCTTATAGCAGGGGTGGGGAACCTTTTTTCTGCCAAGGGCCATTTGGATATAACATCATTCGAGGGCCATACAAAATTTATCAACTTAAAAATTAGCTTGCTATATTTGGTCAAACATTTAATTAACTCACCCCTAATGCCTTGGGAGGGCCAGCCCAAATGATTTCTTGGACCTTATATGGCCCTCGGGCCAGATGTTCCCCGCCCTTAACTTAGACAGTCCTTGGGTTACGGGTTACGTTGGACTCAACGTACGTCATTTCGTGGTTATTTCGCCATCTCCCATTTATTTAAAAAAAAAAAAAAAAAAGGTCTGTCATTTCTATGTATGTACATATGTGCTCTATGTTTTTTATTATTTACTTACCACAAGTAAAGGTCAGGAATTGTTATCTTTCTTTTAAATATTTTTACTGTATCACTTCATTACTGCTGTGTATGTGCTCCATGTGAGTGACGTAGGTGCTTATGTAGGTGGGTTCTGACTTACGGCGAAAATCGCTTTATGTCACACTGTAGGACCGGATCTCCAACGTAACCCGAGGTATTTTCATGGGTTTTTAACTGATGTAGTATTGAAACCCGTATTGGTGCAGAACTTGGCTTTCATTGAAACCCGTTTAGTAGTAATAATTAGTTATAGGAATTACATATCACTTTAAGTTCTTTCTCCTTAGTACTCCATGCTTTTCTTGCTTCATATACTGCATATTTTTATTCTATTTGCACATATTTTTGGAAGATAGAAATGTATGGTTTTAAGTAAATAGGGATTTTATTTTTCATCTATTTTACAAAACTAAAATGCAGAACAATGTAGAGGCTAATTTGTCACTTTCACTTGCTACATCAATCGAAAATGAAACAAGAGTTCTACCTCTTTGCAACTTAATAGATATCAAAGCTATGGGTATATGTAGTTATTGGTATATGTATTCAGTAATTCTTGAGTGCTTACTAGGTGCCAGAAGCAAAAAGAGAAAATAGTCCCTACCATCAAGGAACTTAAAAAGACTGTGGAAAGCCAGAAATATCAACTATCAAATGCATAAGGGCAGTAATAGAAGATTATAGAAACTTGCAATAGTGAATTGTCAATGTCATAACTTAGTTCTAATATAATTAGAAAATAAGTCTTTTTTCATACTTGAAGTGTTTATTGATTAATTTATCAATTTGCCATATTTTTAGGCTTCTAACCTATCAGTTTTTTCAATAGAATGTTTTATCATTTTATAAAACAATTATTTTTAGTTTGGTGTGTTGGTGTTTTTTTTAACTTAAAAAATTGCATGAGCATTGGCTTTAAAAATGATGCATAATGAAAAAGAGAAACTGTTATTTTTATAATTTAGAATGATAGCTTTTAGATAACTTGCCCTGACCTGGGGACAAAATTTCCCCAATTTACTGTAAACATTAAAATTTTAAAGGTTGTTTGTTTGGGAGTTGTTTTTTTGTTTTGTTTTAGATCAAGATTCCACTGAAGACTGTGGTGGAGGGGAAAAAAAAAAGAGAAAAAATTATTTTCATCTGCATGTTTTCATTGCCGCATAAGCTAATTATGTTATTTTCTATTATTTTTTATCTCTCAGATGCTGTAGAAAGGATTCTTTTATTACATAGAATCTTCCAGTCTTCCTAGTTCTGGAGTTGTATGACATGTTGTATATAAACATGAGCTTAAGATGCTAATCATAGGCCTGATTTACCTTACATTTGTAGTAGCTAAATGGTAACAGATTGATTATTTAGGCAGCAGTATGAAATATCAAGCAACTCAATAAAAAAATGAAATTACTCTTTTTTGATAGGTTTATTATGTAGTTAAAAACTATCCTAAAATTAACCCTTAATGTTCTAGTTACTATATGTAGTCCTAACAGGGCCAAGATTAATTGAGTGTTAAGGAACTTGCAGTTTCTGATACTAAAGGCAAAATTGTCCTGATTCTCATAAACCAGCAGTTCTCAACCTGTGGGTCGCGACCCCTTTGGGGGTTGAATGACCCTTTCACAGGGGTCGCCTAAGACCATCGGAAAACACATATATAATTACATATTGTTTTTGTGATTAATCACTATGCTTTAATTATGTTCAATTTGTAACAATGAAATTGGGGGTGACCACAACATGAGGAACTGTATTAAAGGGTCATGGCATTAGGAAGGTTGAGAACCACTGTCATAAACACTAACATTTCAAATTTTTTGCATATTTGTTTATTTTTCATGAGCTCAAAATTTACTGAATTAACGGTGTGATAGAGTGAGGGGAGGAATTTAATCTTTTTTTTTTTTAATGTTTAAGGCACTCATCAAATGCTTAGAAAATCGGGAGGTTTTCATTTTACTTACATCATCAGCCTTAATTTCAGAAACAAGTAAGGACAACTTTTTTAAAATACAGTTTTTTTGAATGTTTACTTTTATTTTATAAGGTCAGCAACCTAACTTTCCTTCTGATTTTCATCCTATATAGATTTTGGAGATGAGCAGATGGTTCTACATGCATTACATTTATTCCATTCATCCCTGTCAGCAGGTAAGGGCGCAGTGACTTCTAGTTTACTAAATCTGTCACATATTTTTCCATCCTCATCATGCTTAACCTCTCAACCCTGGTAACTAATGTAGTTTATTTCTTTAAATAACTCTTTCTTTAATCTCCCTGGTTGGTTCTTCTTTATCCCCTTTTCAGGTTTAGCCTTCCCTCTAAGCTTCACACCCAGATATCCACCTGTTTATTGACTTTTTCACTTAAGATGTCTCACATGTTCCTCAAATTCAGCATTATTCAAAACTGAATATTTGGTATTGAACAATAATAGGAGAGTAATACTGTAATAACTATATGGTGAAAGGTAGTAAACTTAATGGTGATTGCTTTGCAAGGTATATAAATGTTGAATCACTATGTTGTGTACTTGAAACTAATATAATAATCACATGTCAACTATAATTAAAATTTAATTTAAAAATCATCTTAATAAAAACCTACAACTTGGCCTATATGGCTCAGTGGTTGAGCATTGGCCTGTGAACCAGGTCACAGTTCGATTCCAGTCCAGGGCACATGCCAGGGTTGCACTCGATCCCAGTGTGGGGCGTGCAGGAGGCAGCCAATCAGTGATTCTCATCATTGATGTTTCTATATCTCTCTCTCTCCCTCTCCCTTTCTCTCTGAAATCAATAAAAATATATATATTTTTTAAAAAACTGCAATAGCGAGGAGATAATTTTTATAATAGTCTACCAACTAAGTAGGACTCAAGGTCTGCAGTTACAGTTCTCTGTCTGGACTACTTTTCTCCTTCCCTTTTATTGGGTGGTGTTTACCCCCATAGGGCAAAAGATATTACTCAGACAATATATAAACAGATATATTATTTATCTGTAGTATTAAAATTTGGGGGATAATGAATAAAATCAGGTAAAGCTCTGATCTAGTCCAGTCTGTTACTCAGGTCTGTCAGGTGTCAGTTTAAATATCACTGTTGATTCCCATCATCATTCCTCACCTCAGTGAGAACCCCAGGCTTATCAATTGAATTTAAATATTTGTTTGTATATGACTTAATGCCTGCCTTTCCTGTATTCTACTGTATGCCTGTGGCCTAGCAGTGGCCAGGCACATAAAAAATAATAAATGTTTGCTGAACAATAAAGTAAATGAGTCATTTGTTTTTGTCATATGAGGAAATTTTCCTTCTTATTTTATAATCACATTCTATGTGTTTAAACATAAAATTATGTATAGCACTTATAAAGCTATAACCAATATAAAAATGCTTTTAAAGTTGATTTCTTTTTTTTTTTTTTAATCTTTATTGCTGAGATTCTTACAGATGTCTCCTCTTTTTCCCCCCATAACTCCCCTCCACCCGGTTCCCACCTCACCCCAGGCCCTCTCCACCTCACTGTCCACATCCATAGGTACTGCATACATGCATGTAAGATCTTTGTCCAATCTCTTCCCATACCCCCTTCCCCCCGAGAATTGTCAGTCCGCTCTCTTTCCATGCCCCTGATTCTATTACATTGACCAGTTTATTCTGTTCATCAGATTTTTTATTCATTTGATTTTTAGATTCACTTGTTGATAGACATGTATTCATTGTCACTTCATTGTTCATAATTTTTTATCTTTACTTTTTTCTTCTTCTCCCTCTTCTTAAAGAATACCCTTCAGCATTTCATGTAATACTAGTTTGGTGGTGATGAACTCCTTTAACTTTTTCTTGTCTGTGAAGCTCTTTATCTGACCTTCAATTCTACATGATAGCTTTGTTGGGTAGAGTAATCTTGGTTGTAGGTTCTTGCTATTCTTCACTTTGAATATTTCTTGCCACTCCCTT